GTCATACGGGACCTTACGGATGCCCTCATTAAGGCTCGCCACGACGCTGACCAAGAAGACAGCAGAAACTACCGCCTCATCGATGAAGAACACATCGTAATGACTCTGATGGATGTCTTTGTAGCAGGATTAGAAACTACAGCCACGGCTCTTCTATGGTTCATGCTGTACATGGTGAAACACCCAGAAGTGCAATCCAAAATACACGAAGAGCTTGATAGTGTTCTTGGTACAGACACCTTACCACTTTGGAAGCACAGAACACAACTTCCCTATCTGGTAGCAACTATTGATGAAACTCTCCGAAAAGCTTCCATTACACCTCTTCTTCTTCCTCACAAAGCTACAAAAGATTCGACTCTAGCAGGCTTCAACATACCAAAGGGTACATATTTGATGTTTAATGCATGGGACATGCATCAAGATAAACAAGAGTGGATGGATCCAGATGATTTCAATCCATCGAGGTTTATCAACGACAATGGAAAAGTTGACCAAAATGCCGGTTCGAAGAGCTTTCTTCCCTTTGGCATGGGGCGACGTGTGTGCGTCGGGGAAACTCTGGCAAAGCAAGAGTTGTTTGTTATTACGTCGAGGCTGTTGCACGAGTTTACCTTGCATAAGGCACCTGCTCCAATACCGGAAATCACCGGTGATCTGACGGGTACTGTTCTCTACCCACCAGCTTATGAAATTTGCTTTAAATCTCGACAGTAGTATTAAACCAAAATCATCGGATCCATACATTGGGAGAGGAGATACTGAGATTCTGCGCTGTTTGAGGTCTTTAGAAATGAAGCGCTTCCATTTGTTGGCTTTGCTTACGTTGTTTCACAAAATGTAAGGCAATATATACGATGCAAGGAAAGCACGTTTGCTTAAAGAATTTCATTATTGAGCATGCTCARGAGTAGTAAGACTTCCATCCAATGACATACTGGAGTTAGTAGAGCACAGGTAGACCAGAGTTAAATAAACCATAATAACCACCTCATTGTGATCGAGAACTACCCAGAATTCCAAGCAAACAACTTTTACACGTATTTTGAATAAGAGCAGAAATGTAAGGAAGGTAATTCACAAGTTTATTGCAAACAACGTACCTWTATATGTCAATATATGTAAATTCGTGCTGGAAATCTAAATATCACTCAAAACATTTGTATTAAAGATATARTAGGTTTGGATTATGATTTAGGAAWGGTAGAAAAAACAAAATTGCACAACAATAGTCAGAAAATATTATTATYTGCAAATGTTATATATCCCATGTTTATAAAAGTCTCAAAATTCTCAAAAKTCTCAGTCATTGTAAGTTTAATTTCAGTAAAGATGTAGAAAAAAACGAGGGCCCTGTGCAGTGATAAATCGCAGCAGAACAGTTAGAAGGCAATATAATTTGGGCTCTAAATAGCTTTTTTTTTAGWATATCACGTGATCATTGCAAACCAAGAATATCGTGGTGTAAATGCGTTGAGGCAAACCCTGAAAGTCGTTTAAGTACTGATTTGATTCCAGAAAAGACCAGAAAATGAGCGCTCAAGCCTCAGCATAGCTAACACGTGGCGTACATTCAACCTTAAGAAGAGTTCGTATATTGGGATATACATAGCAAATTTTGGGGATATACATTAGCAAATTTCAAGCATTCAATCTGATTTCCAGGCGGTTTTGACTTAGTTGGGTCGATATGCCAGATGTACTTCAAAAGTGACTTTGCCATTCCTTCAACTCAAAGAGAAGCAATGAAGGTGATGGTAAATCACGTTGCCAAAACTCTTTAGCAATGCTTTTCATTTCACCATGATTATCTCTTTTCAGAAGAACAGTTGGAACCACACCAAATATTTCCGTTCCTACTAAATTATCTTCGTCGAATCACACCTTCATTTCTTCTAATAAAAGCCCGTTTTACACTTGCGATTTTTTTTATCGCGCAACTGAAATCGTACGTCAGGTAAACGGCCCTGCGATTGTGCTGTTGCGATGGAAAATCGCACCCTATTTTCAAGCATGATCGCCCGACGATCGCCGCTAGAATCACTCTGCAAAAATCGCAAGTGTACGATTTTAGGGTTATTGCTTGGAGCATTGGCGATGCACTTTCCTTCCTCTGATCCTTGGAATTTTTACTTCGGCACCGACAATTAATACCGCCAGTATTGACACATCCTCAAACCATTCGTGACACTTTTTGGCAATGCTTCATCTCATTCTCTCCATTGTTTCAATTACAGTATCAATTGAAAATGCGGTAAATACATCCGTTGATCGCTCTTTTAAAGCTTTGCTATATAATTGGTTTGAGAAGAGTGCAAGTAAAGCTTAAGAAAACTTACTATGCTCTCTTTCTTCTGTTGCTTTCTTGAAGAAAGTGATTTTCAAATTACCTTTGGACATCTTTTGTATAACTACAACCAGTACACAGACGATCGTCTGACCAGCACATATTCTCATAGTTCATTAAAAAATTGTGTCCAAACCAATATCAAAATTAATCCTTCCTTTCTACAGGTGAAAAACTTTTATCTTTATTTCGGAATATGCTCATATATTAATGAAAAACATTTGCACTTGCATTTAACAAGGGGGTTCCTGACCCCCCGATTCTCCCGCTGGATCCGCCCTTGAACACGGCCGCAAATGTTGTAAACTATACATATCATAGACAGAAATTACATGGTCGCTTGGAGATACGAATTTTATTTTATCATGTTGAAAATCTTTCATTTGTTCGAATATCCGCGAGTCATATAATATCCTGTCTTTCTCAATATTCCAAAAACTCCAGCCCGACGTCGCGCTCTAAAAGCGTCTAGTTATGCTAAACATGGGATAGCTGTGTTCAATGCTGCTGATCGAATAAGCTGTTTGTTACATCTCCCTGACTTGATTAGTTATTTTCAAAGCCTGTTATATCATTGATATTGCTGCCCACAGGTAAGCTAAAGATGCTCATCTCCTATAAATTCAACATGTAATAACAGTAGCAAAACCGGCATCGGGAAGTTCTATAACCTAAATTCATTCCTATTCTACGCAATAAACCACGCAACCACACTTTTTGGAGTATGACTTTGCCTTGGCGCCTGCTGGACAGACAACCCAGATTGTATTTCATATTCTACAATCCTTCCACTTATTTATCCTTAAACTGAAAAAAAAATACTATTTACAATCATCTTTTGCGTTGCCCGCTACAAAAAAACAAGAGATAAAAAACCCGGAGGAGAAACATCTGAAAACGTAGTCCTCGTCCGATGCGAACGCAATGCTTCGAGGGCTAAAGCACGAGATAAGAATACGAAAACCTAACACAAATATATATATCATATACATATATAATGCTTAACAGCTTAGAATACTAACTAATATTACTTGACAACGAATATCCAACAAGCGAGAGTGAACAAACATATTTTCATCAATCTTTTATACGTTATCGTTAATCCATATATTGTTCTATTTACAATACAATCCATGAAATACAATTCACTAAATGTGACGAAGTGCTTTGAACCGTGATGAATACGCTTTCCAACTCACGCTGTTACGTTGGAAAGCATTAAATCTCGTGACCTGATCTATAAGACTGATATCGTACTATTTAACCTTTCTTCGTATACTAGCGAATCTCATAGACACATTGTCCATATACAATATGGAATCACACTCTAGAGCCGTGTTGCATTAGATAGAAATTTCTGGTTGTACAGTTATTGTATAAGACTGTTGAGATCGAATCGACCGAATCAAAACCGACTGAAATACACATCTCATTGATACAGTTATGGCWTAGAAACCTTAACTCCAAGTACTAGATAAGTGATTTTATATATTACATTTCACATGAAATGGTGCCGATTAGGAAATCAACCGTGGAATTCTCGACATATAAACAATTATATCTTTACTCAACCCCAAATCGCTAAAAATACGCTATCATCAGAATGATTTAAAACGTTAAATCAAGCTGCCAATACCAACCGCTAACTCGGACATTGTAGGACGAAAAAATAGCACTATACAATGATTTATTCCAAAGCACAAAAAAACCGGTCAGTTGTAAAATTTATCCGAAGTTTATTGGCTAAAATAAACAATGCAAGAAACGACAATGTAGACATACGGACTAAGGGGCGATCCATTAGGCTTTTGAGGGATCTTCCATCCCCCCACCCCCTCAAAAGTCTAATGGATCGCMCCTAAAGACCATTTCATTCGCAGTCGAAGGAAAAACTCAGTGAAAACGTACAATTAACATTGCACATGAAATGGTGCCAAGGAAATCAATCGTAGAATTCTCGACATACATGAATTATATCATTACTCAACCCCGAATCTCTAAAATAAGAAAAATACGCCATGCAATCATCAGAATGATTTAAAAAGACTAAAAAAGGCATACATGTCTGCCCCGGGGGTCCCTTTTTCGGAGCTCCAAGTCTGGGGATAGTGTATCATTTTTTGCCTATTTGTCTGGGTTAGGGTAGTAGTTTTGTCTGGGATAGGGCATAGTCTCAGTGTCTGGGGTACGGTGGAGTTTTGCCTGTGATCGTATCTGCTAGGCCACGCTTTCAGCGCTAAAATAATGTACCTTTGTACCTTTAGTCTGGGGTAGGGTATGCAATATCAAAAAAATTGGTCTGGGAAGGGGTAAGGGTTTTGAAAGTCTTGCGGCATACGCCCCACCCAAGTTGCGGAAGTAGTACCCCCCGGGGGGGGGGGGGTGTGTGCTTATAACCAACAGAAAATTAATCATCATTTTCGGGAGTTTTCACTTCCTGTTTAATGCCATATCAAAGAATTGTATATCATTCGTGCGGATTCCCTGTGCTTTTTAGTTTTGGGCTTCCTTTAGCGATTCCATGCCATATATGGAAACAAACAAAATGGCGGATTGTTTAGAAGTGTTTTCGCTATAATATCTGCAAGTTTCAGACGATTTCAAGCTTTAAAAGTAGAAAAAATCGACAAAAACCATTCCTATCGAACTTCCAAATAAGGTAAGATTACCATATATGGCTGCTAAACGAAGGATAACTTTTGTGGGGCAATTCTTTCTCCTTGGAGGGAATATCACTGTCGATATATTCTACTGTCTCTGATAAACGTACTATTTCTACTTTTAACATTTTCTAACGTCATAATCTATAAAGCCAATTGGCAAACCTTTTCATAGGTAATAGGAACTCCCGTTGTATTGTGAAGAAATTGTCAGCACTGGACAGGATTGGATTAACGATTAACGGATGAAATGTTTATGTAAACAGATTTGGTCTGGGTTGYTCAAAGCTCGACTCCCGCTAGTAGTAGGTTAGGTATTCATTTTTCCAACATTAAATGCTGTCCGTTCCCTTTTGCTTTCARAATGTTGSARGGAATAGCAGCAGCTCTGGCCATTTTGGCSTTGACKTACATCGTCATAAATTACCTGTTCAAGCCAAAGGGCATGCCACCTGGTCCTTTACCKCTGCCCATTGTTGGAAACTTGCTCRCGCTTTTATCGTCAGGCAATGATGTATTAAAAAGGACRCACGTCATTCTGTCTAAACTGRCAAAGARATATGGTGACGTATTYATCCTCGAGTTGCCTGGTTTACAGCGTGTAGTTGTCGTCAGYTCCATAGCACATGCTCGTGAAGCACTACTCACCAAGAAAGATGACTTTGCTGGAAGACCTAAAACCTTCGTTTTTGATTTTTTGACGATGGGCTGCAAAGACATCGCATCTGGTGACTTTAATGCAACTTTAGTTTTGCAGCGAAAGATAGTTCATTCTGCTATTCGCATGTACCAGCCTTTCCTTGAAGAGAAAATTATCTCAGAAGTGAACGAAATGATACGACGCATTTCCCCAGGAAAACCAACAAACCCCAAGGAAGATGTGGTGTTTGTAACGACCAATGTTATCTTTCAAATAGCAGTTGGCCAGCGCTTTGAACAGATTGATGATGAATTTCTTGAAAAATTAAATCTCACCCGCAGAGTTGCTGGTTTAACAAGTCCTTTCAACATCCTAAACATCCTGCCATTCTTGATACATTTCCCGATTGGCCCATCCACAGAGGTGAAAAAGGTTCGTGATGATCTTCATCAGTATTTATTTGGCAAGTATCACGAGCACAAAGACTCTTACCAAGATGGTGTCATACGGGACCTAACGGATGCCCTCATTAAGGCTCGCCACGACGCTGAACAAGAAGACAGCAGAACCTACCGCTTCATCAATGAAGAGCATATTGCGATGACTGTGATGGATGTTTTTCTAGCAGGATTAGAAACTACAGCCACGGCCCTTCTATGGTTC